GTACGTGTGTGTGTGTGTGTGTGTGTGTGTGTGTGTGTGTGTGTGTGTGTGTGTGTGTGTGTGGCACACCATGCGCGCGCGCACACACATCCAGCCGGTACAAAATGTTTTAAAACTTTATATTATACTTGTTATAGTCATATGTTTATAATCATGTTTCAGTCATATTTTATTAATATCAGGAATTAATTATAATTTATATAAATTCGTAATTTTCGTGTTATATTTATAATTAGTTAGATTAGTTTGTAATATTTAACACATACGTGCATTAAACAACATTAAACAAGTTTGATTAAAAAGACAATATTATCCTACCTGTTACAACTGATGTATTTCTAAATCTAGATTATTAAAAAAAAGCCTTATTTATGTCACAAATTATAAAATTGAGAATATCTTACATTTTGTTAATAAGAAATTTTAAAAAAAGTCATCTAATGATTTTTTTCAATTATTTTTATCTAATGATTTTTTTTCAATTACCTTCTTCAAAACATATACTTTCAGGACATTTTAATAAATAGTGGAATTAATTACAATTGCGATACACATAAAATATCCTATGAAATTGTTAATAAAGAGAAATTACAAGAATCCTTTCAAGAACCATGTAAAACCATGTAAAAATCTATTACTACTACTAATACTCTATATTATCTCTTAAAGATGATTCTGTAATAAAGTGATAATCTTTATCTTATCTCTTGAAGAGAGATTCTATAAGTGTCGGTCCACAATAAGTATTTAATCTTTAAGCCGTAAAAAATTGACCAATCATAGTCGATTATTCTTTTCATATTCGATTATAATTGGTCAATTTCTTAAAGCTTAAATCACTTATTATGGACCGACATTAATTCTTTTATATAAAACGATAGACATAAGACACAATAGAGAAAGAGATACTGATATACCATACATGTACCAGAGATGCTAAAATTCTAATATCTCGTTGACCATTTTGCTACAAAAATCCTAAAGCTTGTATTTACCGATTTCTGTAGCTTGGGCTCCGCATCCTGATTTTTATTCGAAAATTGTTCAGCCATGGCTGAAACTTTATTGTACCCGAGCGCGCTACCTTCCCGGATCTTCTTGCCTATATTCTTCAGGGTATTGTCTATATCAGCGTACTTACTGTAGGTGTCCTTTTGATCGTTGCTCCGCTTCTCCATCTTGATCTGTCGAGCTAAAAACTGAATGAAACATATACACATCTGAAAAAGTGCGAAAACGTCAGCGCTATCGAGCGTTTCTTTGCCAACCTGCTCGCGACTCCATTTCGGCACTTTCTCTACACGTTCATGGCGAATACTGCGGCCCATTTTGTTCTCTTCAATTTTCTTCTCGATCTCTTTCACATTCCAATCAGTTTTTTCTATTTTACCTACATACAAACATATTTTATTATTCAATTCGTAATACATAACAGAGAACATTTTATTGGGATTTAATGTAAATATACACAAACCTATGGCGCGTAAAAGATCTCTAGGTTTCTTCTCGGAGGATGTTGTTCCTTTCAATTTATCTTCAAAATCTTTTATCCTTCCCGAAAATTCCTCGTCTACGCTACCTCTGTGGTAACCAATGTGTATTTTTGGTTGTCTATCCTAGGAATATTAATTATAATATAAATTAATAGAAGATTCTTATAGTGTTAATTATAAAAAAATTAGTACAACAAGTAGTAAGTCGTAAACAACGCAAGAGAGATTGCTAATATGTTACAAACTATTTTTAATATATACTTTTGGAAAATAAATGTAACAATAAGGTAAATAAAATAATAAGGTAATATTTAGAAATTAAGTAGTTGACATTTTAAATGTAAGTCTCCAAGCTCAAATGCAGTTAAACAATTTTAAATTAGTTTAAATTAATTTCTATTAAATTAGGATATAAACAGAATTAATATTATTTTTGTTCTTTATATTTAATTATTTTTCTTCAAACGTCAATTTTGTAAGTGTAACAATAATGGCAGTGCAAATGCAGATAAGGTTTAAATACAATTCCACGTAGGAAAATAAGGCAAAAATTCATAATTCTATTAGTTTAAAAGTCTTATTAGACATGTTAATCGATGACATGTATTAGTCAATAACATACGCAATTTTCACACGTTTAATGCAACAAGTGTGTCAACACTTTTATATTTCTTCACACTGATTATAATGAATTATAATACTAAAACATAAATTATATGTGAATCTTGATTAAAATAAGGTAAAATTCACGTTAATGTTTTCTAGTTGAGTTTAAAAACAATACACTGTTATTCCAAAACATCAAAAAATACAGGCTTTTTATCAACCATCAATAGATAGAGAAAACGACATAGTCAAACATTTGCACTCATCAGTTTCCAGCTTACTGGATAGAGTATTTTCTGCTCTAAGTCTTTTACTCTGTCCTTGAAATCTGGTGCAGTTTGACGGTACAAAAAAATCGAATAATCTTCAAAAGGTTCATCTTTCTCGCGTTTTGCATTGGCTTGCAGCATCTGCATACTTTTGTAGAACTGTTGGGTTGCCATCTTGCGCAAATATTGCCGCTTCTTCATGCGTTCAGTTCGATGCTTTTCGATCTCATCGAGTTTTTTCTGCCGTTCATCCTTTATTGCGAGTTTACGATTGTCATTAGTCGCGCAATCAATTATAAATTATAAATGCTGATCTATTTCTCGTGACGATCCAAGCAAATGTATCTTTCGGGGCAAAAGCAAAACTACTATATATATATATATATATAAAAATTAGTGTATGTGTGTGTGTGTGTGTGTGTGTGTGTGTGTACACGCGCGTTAAATCAAATTATGCGAAAAAGCATGAAGCAGCGACTGGATGACACAATGATGAGTAAGTCTCTTTAGAATCGTAAATCTTAAAAATTCTCATTTCGAGATCGATGGTTTCTTGAACCATTTAAAGAAATTATTTTGCATTATGAATCCGAAATAGAAGTGGAGAAATTTATAAGACATTATAAAATTACACACATATGAGATAAAGAAAGAAAAAAATCAATTGACCTGTAAAGTTTCTATTTATTAAATTACTGCTAACATAATTTTAAACTATGCATGATCAATTATATTATTGCTTATATTAGCCGTAGTTTGCGCATACGAAGACACATTATATTTGCTTCTGGCACAATCTTCTAAGAATTTAAGAATTTTCATTCGAAGTCTCGTAATATTAGCGATTATATTAACAACATAAAATTGTATAAAAAAAATATGATAATATGATAATACCGATAGTCGGGATTTATTTCTTTTTACGATGGATTACATGCGTTCAGTACGTATCTGGTTCCTCCCGGAATACGATCAAAGTAAGTCCAATAAATACGATTAATAATGATACAAATATCCCGCGATACATAACAGCCTCGATCTTCTGCCATCGTGACTACATAAAATATATAAACACTTAAATCTTTTTAAAAGTCAACTGCATACGCAACTATAATGTTAAGTCAAATTTACTACAAAAAATTCGATTTTCTGTTTAGCAGCGAAATGGAATTCTATTTAGAAGCAAATTTTCTTTGAATTTTTTAAAAATGTAAATATTCTTCGCATCGCATTTATCTATATCCTAGACAAATATTAATCATTATGAATCATAAATAGGCAGAAAATTTATTCCGCTTACCATCGTTGCGCCCACTTTCTCGGTACTCCGCCTCTTTCGAGAACGACGACTAGCCGTATTGTCCTTTTTATCCACACAAGAGTGCACATTTTCATTAATATGCCGTGAGCGTGAGTGCCGTGTTTTTGTAGTCTTCTCCTCAGGTGTCAATTGTTTCATTTGCTTTGAATGTGCGGTACATTCCTCTACTTCTGGTTCCTATTGTGTTTAACAGTGCTTAAATTCATAATTATTCTGACATACATGGAAAATATTCATTATATATAATTGTTTGCAATTTTTTTAGAAAAATAATTATAATCAGCCCACGCATGTAGATATTCGAAGTATGAGATTAAATATATTCATATTTTTAGTTACTTACTAATTTTTTATGCTTAATATAAGGAATTTCGCCTCTAAAAACTTCATATATCTGTGTTAAGTAAGAAAACATGGCGAGTGTATCGGGAACATCACATTGGACCATTTCTTCTCCCGTCATTATCTGTAAGATTTGATTAATATAAACTGACTTACTAATTTCATTAGACAAGCTAATTTCTCCATCTTTTCGTAATTCTTCCATCTTTTCTATATTTTCTGCTTAAGGATTATACCATATATGTATATAATAAATTATTTAATTGAATTAAAAAGATATTCATAATATTGAACTATTAAGTGATTTTAAATATAAGTACATACATTAAAATAAAAAGAGCATCCTGATATTATGATAAATCGCATGAATAACAATAACCGACTGCTTACCGATGGTATGTTCAACTCCTTTTCTAATATGTCAAAGGCAAGTTGATTGTTTTTCACTGCGTCCTTTGCGTTTAAGCTATAAAAATCTATTAAATCTGGACGGTATCTATGAACGATTGCACAAATAGCTAAGCCATCTTTAAAAGAGGCACCCATATCTTCGATGTGAATTTTGTCGTACAATGCAACTTGTTTTTGTAGCCACCGAAGCAACGTATCTGGATGAACATCGGGTCTCAAATCTACATATTAATTAAATATGATTTTACAAAAGTAATTATATTAAAAGTAAAATAATAATTTAAAATTGAAAAATCAAAAATAGTAGAATCAAAATATCAAAAGTTGAAAATTCTAATAATCCACAACGGGATTTTAAGATTTAATTTAATTTGATAAACTCACCGCGACGTCTTCGTTTCTTTGGCATATCAATCTCGGACTGTATCGTAGGTTGTTTAATGCTCTCAGGATCATCTGTGTCAAGAAGACTGCGCACTTGTATCGGAGTTACAGAACGTACATTAAGATTTGGATACCTTAAAAAAAAAGATAAATGTAAAAAATAATTATTTTTTTTAATTATTTAAAAACAAAGTAAACAACTCGACAAGAATCTTCTTTATAAATCAAGTAAATAAATAAACAGCTATTCTTGAATGGCAATCAGTTACACAGTTGATTGTTGATTATTCATGGGCAAGAGGTGATTTATCTCCTTATCTTATTGACATTTAATACTTTGCTAATATTTAATATAAATTATTTAACATAACTTATACGTAATTAATATCTTACCTAGTATGAGGATCCAGAGTGTATGCGGCGTAATCTCTATTCAAATTCTCCGGAGTCGTTTGGCCCAATAGTCTATATATTGATTCACGCTCTGCAATTACTTCTAACGGTGATAACGAAGCGCCCCAACCTTTGATTGCCCAGCCTGCGTCCAAAGAGCTCAAAAATCCTCTTGCGCAACCAGAACCGGTAGGCCAAAATGGCTGAAAATTATTTTTGTTCTAGTTTCTCGTTAAAAGCTAAATAAAACAAGACATTTAAATCTAAAAGTAAAAATTAAAGAAACAACAAACATTAAAAGCATTGATAAATAAAATGACCTGTTCACACTCCTTTTATTAGACATCTCTTTATATCCTTGAAATTTTGAAAGTTTTTCTATTTTAACAATCCAATAAATTTTGAATTCCATATAACTTGAAATAATGATGAAAAGTTAAGTATAACATTTACCTCCAAGAGGCTGTCGCCTACAAGAATCATGAGTAATCTATGACCATGGCGCTCTAATACACGACTTGCATTTTCCGCCGCGTACATCGAGGTAAAATCAAACATGGCTACATCCGGTTGGCCATAATGATTCACCGCAAATTCCATATCCATCATTTGATATTCCGTTGAGAATTCCGCTGCTTCTCGAGCATACAACATTAACGCTTCACGATCCACGTTTTCTTTCGCGAGTAATTTTGCAGTGTCAGCATGATCCTAAAAATTAAAATAAAATTAACGAAATTTGTCATTCTAAAAAAACAGATATATTCTATGGTCATAAAATGCCACATCAGAATTTTACCTGCAGGATGACTCCCTTGTCGATTAAACTATGTTTTTTGGCAGTCATAACGAAATAATGCGTATCATCTTTGTAATACACAATATTTTCCAAGTCGATACCCGTTTCTTGGTATAGTTCTTTGAAAAACTTTTGATTAAAGATAAACGCGACACCGCTTATCTCCTCTACGCGAGCTTCTGCCTCGGTTCGTTTATTTATAAAATTCGCCGTGATTGCAATAGCGAGTTTTCCTCGAAATTCCTTTCGCTTAAAACCTTCCAAGGTATTTCTCTTGCCATCAGCTCCAATCAGCACATCAAATTCATATTGAGAGACAGGATGATCATTTGGTGAAGTCTTTGCTCTCCAACCAATCTCTGATGGAAATATCAAATAAAAAGCATTGAATAAGAGAGAAAGAAAAAGAGAGAGAGAGAAAGAGAGAGGGGGAGGAGGGAGGGAGAAAAGAAGGGAGATCAAGCTATATAAAAAGGTAATTAAATTCATTCAAGGCGGATAATTATAAAATCTAAAAATAAAAAATTTAACCTTAAGATACCTTATAGTCAATCATTACTTACTACCGCCCTCCTGATTATCCAATGGTTGAATCAGAGAGTCGAAGCTTACACTCTCGTGGAACTCTACGCCGAGAATCAAAGCAACCTTCAACAGGATACACTGCAGCTGCCGAATGCTGATGTGATCTATGGAACCCGCGCAAAATTTTCCGAAAAATTTTTTTGCTCCCAAACCACGTAGATCCTGAATCACGAAAGGCCATAGATGTAAAACATTGTTCCTGGACATTCGATCCCTTTTTTCCACCACAACAACTTTCGCCCCCAATAATTGCGCTTCTATGGCAGTGCGCAAACCACACGGACCACCGCCGATAATTAAGACCTAACGAATGTGTTATTTTTACAATTTTCTTCGTTAATAGAGAACAAAATAAACATAATAAATAAACTTACTCTTGTGTTCGGGCATATTTTACCACGATTATAACACTTGTGATTCGCTCGTTGATCAAACTTCTTCCACAAGGCTTGCGCTTTCCACGAGCGTAGCTTTGTTTTCAGCTTTGGATAAAATTGATTAATAACATTCGGGCGGATTTTCAGCAATTCGCACAATTGTCTGTAGTAGCCAAGAATAGATTTCAACGTAGTAGCGTTGCAAAACTGATCGAATATGTCGTTAGCCAATGCCACTTCCGGTGAGTTAGCGGCCTGCTTCTTGCCGATCTGATCCATCTCAATCCTTTGTCTTTATCTTTACAGTAGCTCATCAGTTTGTCATTATCTGCGATAAAATAAAAACATTTTCAGCAGATTATTACACGCGAAATATCTTTCACTTTATTGAAAACATCACATGTAATAATCTGCTTCTTTTATCCACGTTAACATTACGTACGTAATGAAAGATTGCTTTGATTTATCCGAAAAAGAGTGGGATAAATAAGAACGGAATAAATAAAAAAAAAGCACATAAAAAATTCTACTGAAACACCGAAATAAACGATGTAAATAAACACTATATTTACATCGTACTCTTAGCGGAAAGCATGACAGCACAAGCGAATCATTCGTCTCATTATTAATGAGATGCTATTCAGATGCGATGACTCTCGCTTATTCGCGGCACGTCTTTGCGAACAACCGTAATACTCTGCATCGAAGGTGCCGATAGTCTGCGATCTTCTTCCTCGGTTCGTTGAACTTACGGTCTGATAACTTTGTAGCCCATCGCGCACATTTGCTTAACGTTTCGCCGAGGAAAAAAACGGAAATGTAAAAACTTTCTCATGAATTTCCGGAGGAAGCAAGTTCATTAATAACTCCTGTTCAATTCTGGACTACTTCATTTCATTTTATTCCGGTCCTCGCGGTGCGATAGTGCGGACCAAGAAAAAAGCGACGGCATAAAAATGCACTCGAAAAAAACTACATTTCCAAATTGTTTTTCCTGCTAAATATATTATTAAAAATTACTTTTAAAGGCAAAGATATCATTAGTAATATAACACTCTCTTCCTGTAGAGAAAGTGAATAATTAGGAACAAATAAGAAGAGAAATGTAGAGATTCTTTATTATATGAAAGCATTTCATATTGTCATGTTAATTTATTTTCATTTCCTAAGACAAGAGAATAATGACTAACAACATGACATGATTAATTAACTATTGACAACAAAAATGCTTCATCATATACTATTTTTGTAATACATGAAAGTGTTTTTATTGTCAAAGCACTATTGTATTCTTTTATATAGAGTTATCTATATCTTAATTAAGATATATCTACAAAATCAAATTGTGCATAAATCGAGATAAGATAACGAACAAATAAGTATTTTGCGTGATGAATCACATTTTACTTTCATATATTAAATATAATTAAAAGCATATGTTTGATGTCAAAACAAGTCACAAGTCGATTCCATTTAAAAAGATGGGAGTGATTCACCACTGGCAAGCGACTTCATCTAAAACAAAGTTAGACTGATCAATCGATAATATATCCTTCTCTAAATAGAATACTTTTCGAGTACATTCAAAAGAATACACTCTTTTGAACACGACAGTATTGCTTTCAAAAGTAATTCTATGAAAAGATTAAAGTAGAACGCGTTACACATTAAGTATACACATATATGTCTAAAAGTCTAAAGAATATTCGCATCACTTTTTAATAACAAATTTTTTGAAAGATCAATTCTTTGGAAGATTTGGAATTGTCTTTTTTTTTCTCTCGTCGAGATAAATCACATCTATTGAACGTCCCAATTCTCAATTCTACAGATATATCTTTGTAACATGCCAAAACCTAAATTAAAATTGTATTAAAATAAATCAACCAAAAATAAATGAAAACTCGAGTTGTATATTTGGATAACTAAAATTTGAAAAACTTTTTGTTCTAATCGTTTATAATTCAAAGATTGTTGCCTAGTGAACATCTTTGAAAACAATCAATTCCAAACGATTATCATTAAAGTAACACTCAACTGTGCATTTCGAAACGATATAACTATACATAATTATATCGCTTATATGCGATATATTTAATTCTCGATACGTAATAAATATATCCGAATTTACGTGTGTATAAATAAACATATGCGTATGATCGTATTCGAATACCTAATATTAACGCGTATACGAGTGAATCCGCATCTGTATGCATCCAACGTCACGCACGTCACGGTGTATGTACAGATACAGAACAGATACAGATACAGATGCAGATGCAGATGCAGATGCAGATGCAGATGCAGATGCGTCGCGTGCTATGCGTACATACATGTATGAAGGGCTGCGTCACGCTGCGTACAATCGTATGACGATACGTCGAGACGGTGGAGATTGCGCCGTGGTAACGCTCCGGCAGCGCGCTTTCGTGGGATCTCTTTTCCTTTTTATGGCTCGTGCTCACATCGCGCAAAATATATACATAACACAGCACACAGAGACACACGCATACGACGAGGAAGGAAGGCGAGGGCGGGCGACACGGAGCGACAGAAGAGGCTTTTTCGGGTGTGACGTTCCACACACACACACACACACACACACACACACACACACACACACACACACACACACACACACACACACACACACACACACACACACAC